TATCGTGCTCTTATAAGTTTGGGAAAAGTTTTGTGACAAACATCTTTTTCCTTCCATTAAGAATTTAAGGAGTGATTTAATGTGGAAACGAAAAGCTTTCTCTAATTAAAAATTAAACAAATTAAGAATGAAAACGGGCAGTGTTGTTTGAAAGTTACTAAATTTAATTTTAATAATAAAAATCTCACCATATTATTAAAATAATTGTCACCAGCCTATCAGAGCCCATTGCTGAGCAAAGACGTCTTTCTCACATTGAGAAGCTTTGATCATTAATCACCTCGCTTGCTCAAGACGGGTTGGTGATTTCAAACTTATAATTGTGAAATTCTAAGGCTAGGTTTCCTCACGATGTTTTCCTTCACCGTTTGTCAGTGGTGTCTAAATACTCTTAGAAAGTTCATACATATGACTCGGAAAAATCACATAATTGTACGTTTGTTATTACTTACATACTTCCTTATATGTGATCAAAAGAAAAAGTGAAGTTTTACTTTCATTTTCAATATTATTTTATAGTTTTCTTTATTTTTCGGAATCTACTTATATGAGTTCTTATTTGCTTTTGAATTAACAAAGTCGTTGGAATTTAAGAATATGTTAATTATTTAATGTAATAATACAAATATCTTAAATGTATTTGTGAAGACCATGAATTTATTATTATTATTTTGTTGTTATATTCACACGTTATCACAAATTTGTAAAATTTTGAATTTAAAATACTTAAAAGGGTGATTAACTATTAAGACATTCGTTCACTATAATGAAACTATTTCTTCACTAACTGCATGAGTACATTATAAAATTCCTTGACCATTTTTTCTTAGAAGTAATCTTCATCATATTCCTCCATTATTTAGTTAACAAAGAGCTTGAATTCAAACCATAAATACAACAGATTTTGAGATTGAAAACATCCATCATATTTGAGTGAAGGATCACTTATTTATGCCTGAAAATTGAGCCCTTTATAATATTGATTTGATGAACAATATAAGATAGAATACATATATTATACTTATGTATTTTAAATATCTCCAAAGTGTAATAATCATTTTTATTTACTACTATTTGGTTTCATATTTTTGTCTATCTGTTTGACATGTAATTATGTCTGAACCAACATAACTAAACGAACGTAGCAAGACTTTTTTTACTATCCTAAAGAATATTAAAGATAGCTATTCTATGTTATGATAGTCTTAATATTGCGAAACCATTTATATTTATTACAGCAAATGATTAGGATTACGGGTATATATGAGAAACAAAAAGGAAAATGGAGGTTTACAAAAGGGAGAGGAATGAAAAATACTGTTTTTACATTTCAACCTAATTTCATTGTAACTTGGCAAGAAAAAAGTTGTACTTGTTGTTTTACTGGTCACCAAGTATTTTGTATTATTTACATAAAAATAAAAATCCAATTGATAAGACATGTAAGAAATGAACTTGAAACTAAATAATTCTCGATTAAATATATAGTAAGTATTCATATTATTTTTATTATTCCATAAGAAAATAGTTCCAGTTTTACGGGTCACAGTCATCTTGATAAAGATCTCAAACGTGACGTATAAAAGTTTTGCTAGAAGATAACCGAGATTTATTACAATAAGACTTGTAGCAATGTCGAAGATTAGTGACTAAAAAGTTTTTTAGAGATGTTTCGAAAAGAATAAGTTCCGTCATTTGTTATTTCTGAAATATTTGTTTTTGCTTCTCCTATTTTATGACTAATGACTTTTGAATGAATTTTGTGACTAATGACATAATAAATGACTTTTCTACAACAGCCTAAGAATTTTTGTAACTATAATAATTTTATTAGTTTAAATGAAAGCTTTTATTCACCTCAAAAGAAGGTTTTCTTTAAAACATGAACGTTATTATAAGGTTTTATAATTATCAAACTTGAGGCCTTGTTTCAAAATATATATAATAAGTCGATTGGAATGTCAAACTTTTAAAATCTAAATTGAGTAAATGTTAACGACATAATAAGAAGTTTAATATATATACATATATATAAATAATGAAATCTATTTGTAAAAATTTATATAAACTTGCCTTTCCGTTAATTATCAATTTAATCAAAAGAAAAATGAACAGTTCTATGACTTCACAACATGGCTATTATCTATACTAATATTATAAAGCTGAAGAGTTTGTTTGTTTGTTTGTTTGAAAGCGCTAATCTCCGAAACTACTGGTTCGAATTGAATAATTCTTTTTGTGTTGGATAGTCCAGTTATATAATATGAATATTAACAAGTTCTCATATGTCTCGTTAAGCCAAGCTTCCAATTCTTCTTGCCTTAACCATACAACGTCAACTTGTCAAGATGTTCTTTGCAGTACAAAAATTATTGTTCAACATAAATATTGTGAAGAGCGAAAATATTTTTCATCTTACATCTGTATATAACGAATTAGTCTGTCTTAAATTGGCTACTATGAAACTTTAATATATTGTTTTGTTCATGTTTAATATTTTGGTTTAAGTCGGTATTTTCAATAATACGAGCACTCCCATCACATAGACGTAATATTAGGATATTGTTCTTATCTCGATTTTAATTGATACATAATAAAATGCTAATGTATATTTAATTAAAATTACGAGTATTGTTATGATATTTTTTATTAAATTTGGGTAAAATATAAGCATATAATTAAGTCAATATTTATAATAAGACTGAATCTCTTTTTTGTATCTGACGTTAAAAGACAAGTTAATCAAAATTTTCACTTTTTATTGTTTTATTATAGTATGTGTAAATATGGTATTTCTATAAATGAATTTATCTCTCATAGAAATAAAAATATGAAACACAGTGTGAAAAAATTTAAATATTACTGAATTTAATTTCAAAATATCATAAAGATCCCTAAAAATTTTTGAAGATGTAGAAATTACTTAAACTTTTCGAATAGTTCAGTTTGACCAATATATCTTATACATAAGGGAAGCAAAGAAAAACCAATTCGGATGCTTAGGAAATCCAAAAAAATTACGAATCGACTAAGTATTTCATCTTAAAGTAAACTTAAAATATTTCATCTTATTAGAATCGGTTGTTTCAGATTTTTTCTCTTTAAATGACACGTCGTTATACTTAATTGTTACATTATGACCAGACGTGTTTAATAAATCGTTATGACCGAACCTTACTTATATTCACATTTGAACAAATTTAATATATTAAAAATATTTATAAAAAACTAATGTTATATGGTAGTCAAAATTAATTATTAATACTAAATTTTAGATAAATTCTTAATAGTTAATCTATTTTGTAACATTACACTAAAATTATTTTATAACAGAGTCAGAAATAATAGAGATTTCTTTACATTTAAGAATCTTTTTTTATAATTATTAAACTACTTATGGAAATAAAGAATTCACGGCACAAAAGGTCTCCCAGAGGCTCAGTAGTGCGTCCATTAATAAAAGAACGTACGAAAAGATAAATCTGCTTTAGTATGATGATAAAGTCAGTTGCGAGTGTCCGAAACAAATACGGAAACATAAGCCAGAGTAATATTACTGTTAAGAAACTGAAATGTTCTAAATCTATGATAAATATTAATTACCACCATAACATACAACATACGATAAATATTAATTACCAGTATTAACTACCAACATTAGATTTGAAAAGTGACCCGTAGAACATAAATATATGTAGTAATCTACATATAAAGCTTAACATCTATGTTTGTCAAGCAAAAAAATTACAATTTGAAAAATAATGTAATAAAGCAAGCTCACAGTATACAGTGTATTGTATGATTATATCTGATATTATACCGGGATCACGAATGATAAATATTATTGGGTTACTCCTTTTAATATACATAGACATAGTAATATATGAACATAGCGTTACGTATGTATGTATACTAAGACGGTATTTTCTCTATTTTAAGGCAGCACATTATTTCTTACCGCTTTCCTTATTTCAAAATAATCCAATGTTTTCTAAAAGTAGGAATCTGTCTTGATAACAACAGCGACATTAAAGTAATTTGTTAGCACTGTAATAAAACACCGTGAAAACAAAATTACCTGAAGGGCTTCAACTCTTCCTTGTTTCTTGGCCAATTTGCATTTATAAAGAGTTCTTATATTTCTTATGAAACGTTTGAGTTTTGTAAAATTAATTAATAATTTATTTTGAAACGATACGCTTCATATACATATCAGTAAGATTTTCATCTCTCAATGTGTCATATTTGCAAAATGCAAAGCGACTTTAAAGTGGCCATCGCTCCACATAGAAAATGACATAATAGATTTTTTTCTTTAATAATATATTTCTTAAAATTCTGAAACCTCCGTTCAAAACGTAAATAAATATTGAAGGAAAAGATCAAATTTTTTGTTGTAAATTAAAAATATACTTATATTATAATTATTTAAACTATTAAAGACACAATCCATTTGTTTTAATTTGTTAAGTTTCGGCTGTATATTAAAATATTGCAATAAGAAGTATAAAAAAATGTATGAAAATAATAACATTGAGTCTAAATATTTATAAAACTCAAACTGAGAGAATAAGACAGAGACTCGATTTCATTTAAGATCAAGTACGGATAGATTATCTTATCAAATATATTATGTTGAAGTGTATCATAAAGAGTTATGTTAGTCTTCATTTTTCTTCGTTTTCATTCTTTTGAATTTGACGTAGTTTTTAAGCACTTTTAATATATTATATGTTATTTAAAACAAAACCATAATCTAGACAGAAAAATTACAGTTATAATTATAAAGAAACTTTCTTTAAATGAATTTTGATCAGAAAATTGATAAACACATTACAAAACAGACGAAAAATTTCAGTTATATTAAGGTCTGGAGGAAAAATTAAAGGAAAACTGAATAAGTCCTTTGAGAAGTCTTAAGAAGTTATTAGACTTTGTAATACAAATTTATCAAAACAAGCTAGGTATGAGTTTTACAGGTTTCTGTATGGAATACGGACTTGAAATGCTCTACGTGCGGGAAAAACTACAAGAGACGAGCCTGGTACATTAAACATCTAAAAACACATAATGGGGTTGAAGCACGACAATCGTCGGTAAGATCTACAACATTCACTTCGGATAGAGTTGACCCTCATGTATCCCATGGTGAACCATTAACTGGAAACCACCAGGAGTCCATTAACATCAGGACACGTCTTAGCATTCCTAATCTAAAAGAATCGACTTGGAAAGTTCACGACGACAACTTAGCGGTCCTGTTAGAGCATCCGGGCTCGAAGCAGGAATTGAACTCGCAGGTAGAAACTTTCCAAAATACCGTTTATGACTACTTTAGCGAGCAATATCCACCACGTAATCGTTATGCTCGCAAAAATAAAGACAATTCGTTCAAATTAAAAATGCGGAAGAAAAAACGGGAATTAATAAAAAATCTACGTATAGCCAAAGCTCTAGGCGACAATCACCTTAGTCATCAACTAGCTAGGGCGTTAAGGTCAATCCTTAAATTAATCCAAGGAATATCGGCGCAAACTGCAGAATATCGCGATAATTTTGACCGGGCAAAACAAGAAGTAGATTTCGATAAAAACCCTTTTGAGTATTCGAAAACCATTTTTAAGAAAGAACGCGGACAGCTTCTCTTGACCAACGATCAAATTTACGACCATTTTAAGAGCACATACGAAGTGCCTAAAAGTTTAAGACGGTATAGGGATCCAAACGATCAAAAACCTGAATTTCCTCGAATCGAATTCCACGGCATTCCACCAACGCTAGAGGAACTAAGTAGTCAGATCAAGAGGAAGTCGTCTAAATCTGCACCGGGACCCGATGGTATCCCATATATAGTCTTTAAAAAATGTGCATCGGTTCGTAAACACCTCCTAAATATATACGGTAAAATCTGGTCAAGGAAGCAAATCCCGGAGTGCTTCGGGAAAGCAATTTTTGTCCTCATTCCCAAAAAAGATCGAGTTACTGATCCGAAAGATACTAGACCGATAGCTTTAACAAATACTATATCGAAAATCTTTTTCTCGGTTCTACAAACGAGAATGACGCGATTCATGCTCAGCAACAACTATTTTAGGCCAAATCACCAGAAAGGGTTTTTACCCGGGATTTCTGGATGCTTAGAACACAACACCTTGCTGTCGGAGAGTTTAAAAGATGCTAGAAAAAGCGAGCGGCAAATCACTGTTTGTTGGATAGACTTGGAGAACGCGTTCGGGTCGATACAACACGAATTGATGCTATTCGCGCTTAGATGGTACAACTTTCCACCCCTAGTTAGAGATATGATCGCGTCGTATTACTCAAAATTAAGGTTTTCTATAATAACTAAAGAAGGCCCTTCAAAAAGTTTGAGTTATAATGTAGGACTGTTTCAAGGTTGTTGTCTATCTCCAATTGCGTTTAATATCGTAATTAACATCTTAGTAGACAAATTAATCTGTAACGAGAAAAAATGGGGTTATCGGTTTAAGTTTAATAATAAATACACGGAATCCATTTTAGCCTTCGCTGACGATCTCGCAATACTGACACGTAACCCCAAACACTGTCAGGTACTATTGGATGAAGTGGATAAATTCTGTGAGTGGACGGATGGATTGAGGACAAAACCCAGTAAATGTCACTGTCTGTGTCTTGGTAGGCGGAATACAAGATACACCTCATACGATCCGGGACTATCGTTAGGCGGTCAATGCATTTCTACGGTTACGGAAAATGCACCATTTAAATTTCTCGGTCGTAAGATAGATAATATAGGCCGTACTCCATCTTTAGAAGGAATAGTAGATAGCTTTTTGAACGATCTTAACAAGGTAGATAGCCAACTGATAAGTAACGTCAAAAAAGCGTGGATCTACGAGAATTACTTAACTTCACGTTTGAATTGGCCTTTCCTCGTCTATGATTTTAATAAAACCCTTTTGTCAAAGTTAGATGCAGGCGTCATAAAGATGTTGAAGTTGTGGCTCGGGCTCGCTCTAACGGCTGATTCATCGGCGTTATTTAGGGGAAGCAATAGTTTTGGGATGAGTCTAAAAAGGCCATCGGAGCTCTATAAACACCTAAGAGTTTCCAAGAGATATATCCTGGGGAAATCCCATGATGACATAGTGACATCGCTCCCAAAAGATGAAGATGCCCCCGAGCTAGAGTCACGACTTCAATTCCATAAGCAATTTATGATAGGAGCGCAAAGTAACAGAGCGGGTTTAGGATCAAATAGGAAAGTCCAAGATGCGGATATATTGAAGTCTTTTATTCGGCAAGACGAGAATGATAAATATAAGATCCATGCAATGAATTTAGAAATGCAGAACGAGTGGTTAGACATAGGAGATTTTTGCATCCCATTAGCATTAAAATGGCGCACTTTAATTTATGATTGGTCGCCAGCATTGCTAAAATTCTATCTCAATGCGTTCCAGATGACTCTCCCAGATCAGAGTAATTTAGTAAGATGGGGTAAAAGTACCGAAAAAACTTGCTATATCTGTGGAAAGGCAGTTGGAACTGCTAAGCATCTGCTGGTGGGATGTAAGGTACTCCTTGACAGCGGTCAATACTCGCGTCGTCACGATAGGGTTCTAGAAGTCATACGTGAAGCGGTTAGTCTTTCGGTAGCCAGAGCGCAAAAGGGAATAACCACAAACGAACGATCAGTAGGTTTTGTGAGAGAAGGCTCTAGGGCTACAAAATCAAACGTCAAGCCTTACTCCATCCTTAAAGCGGCGTCGGATTGGACTATAATGATGGACACGTATGAAAAACAATATAAAATCCCCGAGGATATTTGTGCGTCGGCCTCCAGACCGGATATATTTTTGTTTTCGCGAATTTTAAAGCGCGTAGTGATGATAGAGCTTACGGTCCCTTGGGAAACCAACATCCCCAAAGACCATACCATCAAGGTCAACAAATATTACGAGCTCACAAACGAACTCACTCGAAATAGGTTCGTAGTAGATTTGTACGCGGTAGAGGTGGGAGCGAGAGGTATAACAGCGAAATCTCTCTATAACCTACTAAAGGACTTGGGCTTGTCCAGAACTCACATTAATGCATTCTTGGAACGTACATCGAAGGCAGCCCTAGTAGGTTCTTTTCAAATTTGGTTAGGTAGGGAGAGGAGCTTGGACAGTGGAGGTGAGCGTATAACGCGCGTTAGTTAAGGGGCCCCTTAAACCTACACTTGGGTCGCAAGTCCCAGGCACTGTTGAAGCTCCTCCCCCGGCAACGCGATGGACCCGGCACCCGCACGGTGAATCCATGGAATGCTGAGAAGTTTCGTCTCATGCAGTTTCATTTATTTTTGTTATATGACTGAATTTTAAATGTGATGCCTACATATGTGGGTAACCATACATTGTATGACGTGTTTACTAGTTCACTTGAGATTATTGTAATTTGAACTGGGAAAATATTTTTCTTTAACACGAACTATTATTAAATAATTACATGGGAATTACGGTTGGGTTTGACGAGGTCGTCGAATTAAAACAAACTGACGAATCAGTACTAAATTAATAGCTTACTATAATAAGTCATATAATAAATTGATCATTGGATTCATATTTTTTTAAAGTTGTTTTTTAAGTTTCATGTCTTTAATCGTATAGACTTAGTGTTTAACTATTTTCTTTAAATCACAAAAATTGGTCCTGAGCATTAATTAATTTAACGATTATACTGATATGCTTGACATAGGTAATCGAGCAATAATAAGCCAAAAATGTACTACAACATCATGGAAAATATCTAATATTCTTATATTGCTACATTGATATTAAGTCAACGTTAGTAGGAATTTTCGTAAAGAAACTGGCTTTAAAATGAAAATAATGGCATTTGAAATCGATTGATTCGTCTAAAAGCTACGATGCTCCGGACCGATATAAACATACATACTCGTACATAAACATCAAACTAATTACACCGCTCTTTCTCCTCAGAGATTTATAAATATATACATCAATAAAAATTATTTTATGTATTATAATTACAACCATCAATAATAATTAAATTATTTAAAGAAAACAAAGAGAAAAACTAATGAGAGAAAACTTTGTGGCGAGATTATTTGCCGTTGCCTCATTAAACATTGAAATACTTGGAAAAACAAAGAGAGTATATTCCTCTTATAATGGTACAAAGACAATAGTTTTTATTTACGCAAACATTTATTTGTAAAGAAATAACTGAACCTGTTTTTATATTAAAAGGAATGTATACTAATAAGAAGACGGAACTTCTCAGCATTCCATGGATTCACCGTGCGGGTGCCGGGTCCATCGCGTTGCAGGGGGAGGAGCTTCAACAGTGCCTGGGACTTGCGACCCAAGTGTAGGTTTAAGGGGCCCCTTAACTAACGCGCGTTATACGCTCACCTCCACTGTCCAAGCTCCTCTCCCTACCTAACCAAATTTGAAAAGAACCTACTAGGGCTGCCTTCGATGTACGTTCCAAGAATGCATTAATGTGAGTTCTGGACAAGCCCAAGTCCTTTAGTAGGTTATAGAGAGATTTCGCTGTTATACCTCTCGCTCCCACCTCTACCGCGTACAAATCTACTACGAACCTATTTCGAGTGAGTTCGTTTGTGAGCTCGTAATAATTGTTGACCTTGATGGTATGGTCTTTGGGGATGTTGGTTTCCCAAGGGACCGTAAGCTCTATCATCACTACGCGCTTTAAAATTCGCGAAAACAAAAATATATCCGGTCTTGAGGCCGACGCACAAATATCCTCGGGGATTTTATATTGTTTTTCATACGTGTCCATCATTATAGTCCAATCCGACGCCGCTTTAAGGATGGAGTAAGGCTTGACGTTTGATTTTGTAGCCCTAGAGCCTTCTCTCACAAAACCTACTGATCGTTCATTTGTGGTTATTCCCTTTTGCGCTCTGGCTACCGAAAGACTAACCGCTTCACGTATGACTTCTAGAACCCTATCGTGACGACGCGAGTATTGACCGCTGTCAAGGAGTACCCTACATCCCACCAGCAGATGCTTAGCAGTTCCAACTGCCTTTCCACAGATATAGCAAGTTTTTTCGGTACTTTTACCCCATCTTACTAAATTACTCTGATCTGGGAGAGTCATCTGGAACGCATTGAGATAGAATTTTAGCAATGCTGGCGACCAATCATAAATTAAAGTGCGCCATTTTAATGCTAATGGGATGCAAAAATCTCCTATGTCTAACCACTCGTTCTGCATTTCTAGATTCATTGCATGGATCTTATATTTATCATTCTCGTCTTGCCGAATAAAAGACTTCAATATATCCGCATCTTGGACTTTCCTATTTGATCCTAACCCCGCTCTGTTACTTTGCGCTCCTATCATAAATTGCTTATGGAATTGAAGTCGTGACTCTAGCTCGGGGGCATCTTCATCTTTTGGGAGCGATGTCACTATGTCATCATGGGATTTCCCCAGGATATATCTCTTGGAAACTCTTAGGTGTTTATAGAGCTCCGATGGCCTTTTCAGACTCATCCCAAAACTATTGCTTCCCCTAAATAACGCCGATGAATCAGCCGTTACAGCGAGCCCGAGCCACAACTTCAACATCTTTATGACGCCTGCATCTAACTTTGACAAAAGGGTTTTATTAAAATCATAGACGAGGAAAGGCCAATTCAAACGTGAAGTTAAGTAATTCTCGTAGATCCACGCTTTTTTGACGTTACTTATCAGTTGGCTATCTACCTTGTTAAGATCGTTCAAAAAGCTATCTACTATTCCTTCTAAAGATGGAGTACGGCCTATATTATCTATCTTACGACCGAGAAATTTAAATGGTGCATTTTCCGTAACCGTAGAAATGCATTGACCGCCTAACGATAGTCCCGGATCGTATGAGGTGTATCTTGTATTCCGCCTACCAAGACACAGACAGTGACATTTACTGGGTTTTGTCCTCAATCCATCCGTCCACTCACAGAATTTATCCACTTCATCCAATAGTACCTGACAGTGTTTGGGGTTACGTGTCAGTATTGCGAGATCGTCAGCGAAGGCTAAAATGGATTCCGTGTATTTATTATTAAACTTAAACCGATAACCCCATTTTTTCTCGTTACAGATTAATTTGTCTACTAAGATGTTAATTACGATATTAAACGCAATTGGAGATAGACAACAACCTTGAAACAGTCCTACATTATAACTCAAACTTTTTGAAGGGCCTTCTTTAGTTATTATAGAAAACCTTAATTTTGAGTAATACGACGCGATCATATCTCTAACTAGGGGTGGAAAGTTGTACCATCTAAGCGCAAATAGCATCAATTCGTGTTGTATCGACCCGAACGCGTTCTCCAAGTCTATCCAACAAACAGTGATTTGCCGCTCGCCTTTTCTAGCATCCTTTAAACTCTCCGACAGCAAGGTGTTGTGTTCTAAGCATCCAGAAATCCCGGGTAAAAACCCTTTCTGGTGATTTGGCCTAAAATAGTTGTTGCTGAGCATGAATCGCGTCATTCTCGTTTGTAGAACCGAGAAAAAGATTTTCGATATAGTATTTGTTAAAGCTATCGGTCTAGTATCTTTCGGATCAGTAACTCGATCTTTTTTGGGGATGAGGACAAAAATTGCTTTCCCGAAGCACTCCGGGATTTGCTTCCTTGACCAGATTTTACCGTATATATTTAGGAGGTGTTTACGAACCGATGCACATTTTTTAAAGACTATATATGGGATACCATCGGGTCCCGGTGCAGATTTAGACGACTTCCTCTTGATCTGACTACTTAGTTCCTCTAGCGTTGGTGGAATGCCGTGGAATTCGATTCGAGGAAATTCAGGTTTTTGATCGTTTGGATCCCTATACCGTCTTAAACTTTTAGGCACTTCGTATGTGCTCTTAAAATGGTCGTAAATTTGATCGTTGGTCAAGAGAAGCTGTCCGCGTTCTTTCTTAAAAATGGTTTTCGAATACTCAAAAGGGTTTTTATCGAAATCTACTTCTTGTTTTGCCCGGTCAAAATTATCGCGATATTCTGCAGTTTGCGCCGATATTCCTTGGATTAATTTAAGGATTGACCTTAACGCCCTAGCTAGTTGATGACTAAGGTGATTGTCGCCTAGAGCTTTGGCTATACGTAGATTTTTTATTAATTCCCGTTTTTTCTTCCGCATTTTTAATTTGAACGAATTGTCTTTATTTTTGCGAGCATAACGATTACGTGGTGGATATTGCTCGCTAAAGTAGTCATAAACGGTATTTTGGAAAGTTTCTACCTGCGAGTTCAATTCCTGCTTCGAGCCCGGATGCTCTAACAGGGCCGCTAAGTTGTCGTCATGAACTTTCCAAGTCGATTGTTTTAGATTAGGAATGCTAAGACGTGTCCTGATGTTAATGGACTCCTGGTGGTTTCCAGTTAATGGTTCACCATGGGATACATGAGGGTCAACTCTATCCGAAGTGAATGTTGTAGATCTTACTGACGATTGTCGTGCTTCAACCCCATTATGTGTTTTTAGATGTTTAATGTACCAGGCTCGTCTCTTGTAGTTTTTCCCGCACGTAGAGCATTTCAAGTCCGTATTCGCGCCGTTTTCGCCGTTAAAATCGACCGGTGGACAGTTCTTCCGCCCCCCCTCTCGGACTGTCCCAGGGGTATTTTTCTTCTTCGGACTTTTAGCTTTATGTATACCGGGTTGGGCTTGCTAGGCCGTCGCCCTCGGCTGTCTTTCCAGCAGTCATCCGTCTTTCCGGCAGTCATCCGTCTTTCCGGCAGTCAGCTGTCTTTCCAGCGTCAGCCCGACTCTCCGGGCAGTCGTTTTAAATAAGACAAAACTTCTCAGCATTCCATGGATTCACCGTGCGGGTGCCGGGTCCATCGCGTTGCAGGGGGAGGAGCTTCAACAGTGCCTGGGACTTGCGACCCAAGTGTAGGTTTAAGGGGCCCCTTAACTAACGCGCGTTATACGCTCACCTCCACTGTCCAAGCTCCTCTCCCTACCTAACCAAATTTGAAAAGAACCTACTAGGGCTGCCTTCGATGTACGTTCCAAGAATGCATTAATGTGAGTTCTGGACAAGCCCAAGTCCTTTAGTAGGTTATAGAGAGATTTCGCTGTTATACCTCTCGCTCCCACCTCTACCGCGTACAAATCTACTACGAACCTATTTCGAGTGAGTTCGTTTGTGAGCTCGTAA